ATTTCCTAGGCAAAAATACTGGATTTTTGGGTTGCCATTTCCTCCTCCAGGGCCTCTTCCTGACCCAGGGATTGAACCTGTGACTCCTGAGTCTCCTGCATTGGCAGGCGGATTCTTTACCACTGAGCCACCTGGGAAGCCCTGAAGAATCAAATATATTAATTCATACCTCTTCCACACCTCTTCAGCATAAACCTGCCTCTCCACTTAACTTCCCTCTGTTTCCATCTGCTTCAAAGACATTTTTACTACCATTTATCTGACTTACAATTGTAGATGTTTAACCTTAAAATCTCTCCAGAAGTTCAATGCGACATTAACAACTTCTTACATCCTTAGTACCCAAGCTGGCACACGGTAGCCACTTAATAGATGTTTATTGATTGAATGAATAAATAAATAAATCTACACCTAGATGTCCTACTTCCAATTCAACTCTAGATTAAGTGGAGTTACTGGAGAAGAAAGAAAAGGATAGTCAAAAAGGAAGACTACTTTCTGCTCCTTCCACTCCAGATGCTATAAACTCCAACTCTAAGTCTTTGAAGGTTCTGTTGGTTTTTCAACTTAGACTTCTTTGGGAGATAATTGGCACATGGAATCAAACCCACATATAATTACTCTAAATGAAATAAAAACGACTGATTGCACACACAGTGTTTTAAAGGGCAGTAAAATCATATTACTTAAATACACGGTATACATAAAGTAACATACTTATAAAATCAAAGGAGCATAACATCACCCCCGAACCATCTTGATCACTAGCATTCTTCTGCTGTACAGATTCTTATAGCTGGATGGCTACTTTTGTGTTCTTCAAACATGTAGGAGCTTCATGATAGTATTAAAAAAAATAGTCACCCACCACCCACCATTGTCCTATGTGCTTTTCCACATGCTGTTTCTATTAGGTATACTATTTTAAATTTCTTATAATCTCGTTTAAAGTATGTATTTGTAAGTCGTACATTCTGTTTTTCTGGTTTCTTCATCTCTGATTTTTTTTCCCCCTCTCATGTGAATGGATTCCAGAAAACCCAGAAACAATATCTATCAAGATCCAAGCAGCAGAGGAAGGAGAGGACTAGCAAATAAACATTTTCCAGTGTCGGGTTAGGAAGATATTCGATCTTTCAATGTGTTCAACAAATGGGTTTAATAATGCACATTTCAGTATAAAACAGTTCACAACAGAAATATTTGCTACTCAGCCCATTTATCCTGGGAATTACACAACATGGACCATTTTCAATAACTCTTTTCATTATAATGATTTCCTCCTGCTCAACCAACAGAAATGTACAAACCATTTTGGTCTAGAAATGTAATATGATGAGATACAAATGTATTAAAGAAAAATTAAAGTACAGTTATTTCTATCACTTTGGTTTAGGGTTATACTGTCTTTCTCAGGTAATTCAGCCTCTTTAAATCTTTCCAACCAGAATATAAAACCGCTTTTTATTCAGAATCCATTCAACTAAACAATTTGAAAAAGCAGGTTTATTTTAAAGTCTTAGTAAAATACCGGTAGACCAAAAATAGATTAAATTACATTTTGGGGTGCCTAATTGGTTTCTTTTACTTTTTTTTTTTTTAGTGCCCACAGTATTTGTTCATCATTTATTTGTTGAGAGACTATTCTTCAGCCCAGATATTCATAGTTTCATGGTTCAGGAACACAGGTAAGTGACAAACTTCCATGGAACTCAAGCAAAGACATTCTTTATATTTCAAATCGTTTTGCACTTTGAGAGATACCAGCCCTCCTCTTCACCTCAAAATCTTTCATGGAGTCATAATTTCTACAGAAATCTGCATATGCCTTCTTTCCTAGTTCAGCCACAGCAAAGTTACAGAAAGTTGCAGTTCCCAGGGAGACAATGAATGTTCCAACAATATGAAATTGCAGATGCTTGGCCAGAAGGCCATGCACCTGAGGTTTTGTCAAAAGAACTGGATATAGTGGTTTTTCTCCTTGATGATCCAACAATGACGTCCTTCTAGACTGATGGAGAAATGAACCTAATTTTATAACTTAAAGATCGTGAAGTGCTTTTTGAATCAAAAGAGATAACATATGTTTAACATAATTGTGACTTTTAAAATTTTATGTTCTAATATCAATCCATACAGATTATATAGGTAGTAATTTTTGCTTAATAAGGCCATCCAATTTTGTGAAACCTTTTCAAATATTCTGAATGACCAGAAATAGGGCTTCTAAGGTGGCACTAGTGGTAAAGAACCTACCCGCCACTGCAGGAGACATGAGACTCGAGAGACACGGGTTCGATCCCTGGGTCAGGAAGATTCCCTGAAGGAGGGCGTGGCAACCCACTCCAGTATTCTTACCTGGAGAATCCCGTGGACAGAGGAGCCTGGCAGATGATGGTCCATAGGCTTGCAAAGAGTCGGACATAACTGAAGCTATTTAGCACAATGAATAAATGACTAAATGGTGAAGTTTCGACTTAGCATGCATGCAACTTCACCATTTAATCATTTATTTAGCAAACAGGTACTGAAGTATATGATGTGTATGGTGAAACAGTAGGAACTAGTTCCCCAAGTAATAGAATAATCAGTAATAGGAAGAATTGAGATATACTTCCATATCACTGTAATTTTCAGTAGTAATTGACACAAAAGAGATGGTATAAAAATTCATAACTGTAGAGAATTGTGATCATGTTTTCAGTGATGTTTTCTAATTAGTTCTAAGACTTTTATGTTTTACAAAGCCACCTGAATGATTGTCCCATAAAGCACCATCCTTATTCATGGTTTTCTTCTTGTCGTCTTTGTGTACTCAGAATTTTTGACCACGTTTGTCTAATTCTTGAGAAGTAAAAATTCAGGGCATGTTTATTTACTGAACACATATTCTGTTCATATGTTATGAACCTATGTTCATATCTAAGCTAGATGCTAGTCGTATACCTCACTACGACAGCAGGCATGGTCCCTTCACTCATGGAGCTCCTAATCTAATAGGGAAAAAGGAAAAAAAAAATGTTTCCACTGAACATGTCTTTCATTCCTTTCTACATTCTCACCGTCATTCTCACTGGAATTGAACATTATTAAGCACCACAGTGACCACATTATTTCATTGATGTTCCTTAGAAGCAGCGAGCAATACAGTTGGTTATGGTCGATTTCATGGTTTGCCTGTGATTGCTGAGAAGACACGACAGTGTTTTCTAAAGCATTTCGTGGATGCTGCTGGCATAACCCACATATGGGTTAGAAGTGCTGAGATGGCATTTCTGATTAACCTGAGCAGCCAACAGTCTTTGATAAAAGGCCTCTGATTTCTAAAGCACGGCCTGCTTCAAAGTGCAAAACTCTATTCAGGAAGTGAGCGGTCTAAGACATCTGCTTCTGGGGACTCTTCCTGGTGACATGACAGGTCCCTTCCCTGCAGAACTCCCCCTCTGTGAATGAGAGCAGAGAGGAGCAGTGGAGGAGCGGAGGAGAGAGAGACTCATGCAAAACAGACTGCGGCATTCGAGAGAGAAGTGGAGAAGAGTGAGGAAAGGCAGAACCCAGGAGGAGGAGGAAGGAAGGGGTGGGGGTGGGGAGCGAGGAAGGAAGGACGAAGGGAGGGAAGGAGGAGGGAAAGAAGGACGGGCGGGGAGAGGAAAGGAGGGCAGAGACCGAGCTTTTATGGAACACTAGCAGCAAGGGCTCCACGGGCGTGGCGGCAGTACCCAGTGGACACACAGTACTGTGGGGTCGGGCCCGGGCCAGGCGCCCAGGGGCAAGGACAGAAAGCACTTAGGAAGTGACCGCTGTTTTATCAGGAGGAGTATTAGCGAAAATCACAGCTACCTGCACTTCCTTTGTGCCAATCCTAAAAGTGCTTTACATGAATTTTACCTCATTATATCCTCAGGACAACCCTAGAGGCAGAGAGCCTTAACCCGGATAAAGAAACTCAGAGCAGTTAAGTAACTTATCCAAGGAGACAAAGCTGACAAGTGGCAGGGCTTGGATTCGAACCAACAGAGCCAGCCTTCAGTGCCTCTGCTCTGAAGCACCTTGACTGGTGCTCATTAGACTTGCAAGACCCTGCCGTAATAAGATGGCAGAAAGGAAGTGTGGTGGATTGGGACATGAATCTGAATTGGGGCATTTCTGGTTTTCAAACTGCTCCCCCCTCTTTATGTGAGGAGAAGCAAATATTTTAAACAAAACAAACACTTGTTACACACACATTTCAGTGTAAGAGATAATTGCAATTGAATATCCTGATTTTATAGTCTCAGTGATTTTAGATATAATTAACCTATGGTGCATGGATCAAATTATCCTTAATTGGCACCTTTGTGAACAATCCCAGCTGAAGCCCCCTAACAGAAGTTGGTTGGTTGTGAAATAACCTAAATTTAGGAGGATTGCACTAATAGATGTGGGTTTCCCAGGTGGCGCTGTTGCTAAAGGATCTGCCTGCCAGTGCAGGAGACGCAGGAGTCACAGGTTCCATCCCTGGGTCGGGAAGGTCCCCTGGAGGAGGGCATGGCAACCCACTCCAGTATTCTTGCCTAGAGAATCCCATGGACGGAGGAGCCTGGCAGGCTACAGTCCATTGGGGTCGCAAAGAGTCAAGACACAACTGAAGTGACTTAGCACACTCTAAGGTACATACTATAGTTACTCTTAATGAGTCAAGTTAATGAACCCAGCCCAGGACTGACTAGTTGTAAGCCTGGGTAATAGGAAGAGAGTGCATCTATTCATTCAACAAGTATTTACGCAGTAACCACTCTGAGTGACTAATTTAGTTAATACAAGAGTATACAAAGCAAGCTCTTCTGTAGATTACATTCTGGGAGGGTGAGTAGAGACTGATACTAAACAAATAAACATTGATATAATGTGTCAGATGACAGTAATGCCAAAAAAGAATGATATGGTGGATTCTTAAGAAATAAGATGGATAGAGAAACCAGAGTGATGCAACTCAGGCAGGGTTGGCAGAGAAGGTCCTTCTACTGACTTCTGACGGCGATGAGGCAGACAGCCATGCCGATGAAAAGCATTTCAGCCAGAGGACACAGCCAGTGCAAAGGCGCGGAGGCATGAACGTGCTTGGTGGACGTGAGGAACAGCGAGGAGGCCAGTGCGGCCGTGCAGAAGCAGCAGGAGGGGGAGCAGTGAGAAGAACCGGCACAGAGATGGAGGAGGGCACGTCTGGAAGGCTTGGAAACCCTCGAAAGGACGCAGATTCTACTGAGAGAAACGGGGTGACCCTGGAGAGTCTTTGACACTAGACAGGAATGATACGATCTCACTTTGGTTTTAGCAAGCATCATGTAGACTGCTGTGTGCAGAAGGCAAAGGGGCAAGGATAGAAGCAGGAAGACCAGTTAGGAGGCTATTCCAAGAGACCAGGTGATAGATAAGGATGACTGCTCTAGTGGTGTGGAGCGCGACTCTACGGCTGGCAGGATCTTACTGATGGAGTGGATACAAGGCTTGAAAAAGAGAGCAGAGTCAGGCTAAGTTGCTACATTTTGGACTAAGCTACCAGACCAATACAGATTTTATTTACTAAGGTGGAAAAAACTGTGGGAGAAGTAGGTTTGGGGAGGAAAATGAAGAGTTCAGTTTTGGATGGGTTAAATTTGAGATGCCTATTGGACATTTGTGCTGCCTGCCAACGTAGGAGTCATAAGTGATGCGGGTTTGATCCCTGGGTCAGGAAGATCCCCTTGAGGAAGGCATGGCAACCCACTCTAGTATTCTTGCCTGGAGAATCCCATGGACAGAGGAGCCTGGTGGGCTACAGTCCATAGGGTCACAGAGTCTGACATGACTGCAGCGACCTAGCATATACGCACACATGCATCAAATATCATGTAGGCAGATATATATGTATCTGGAATTCAAAAGGAGTATCCAGGTGAAGGTATAAATCTTGGAGGATTAGTATGCCATGATATTTATTTAAAGTCATGGCACTAGATGACGTTACTCAGAAAGTGAGATTGAAGAGTAGGGAAAGGAGGTATAAGGATTAACCCTTAAAACACATCATATGGTCTCCATGTTTGTGTCCTCCCCAAATTTATACATTGTAACCCTAATCCCCAATGTGGTGGTGTGTGGAGATGGTGGTTGCTGGGAAGTAATTAGATCATAAGGGTGGAGTCCTCATAAAGGGATTGGTGCCCTTATAAGAAGAGTCTCCACTCTCTGCCCTGTGAGGAGATGACTATCCATAAGCCAGGCAGAGGGTCGTCATGGTGGCACCCTGATCTTGTGCCTCCCAGCCTCTAGAACTACGAGAAATAAACGTTTGTTGCCTACACTGCCCAACTTATGGTATTTTTGTTGTAGCAGCCCAAACTGACGATACACCAACCTAGAGGCTTGGAAGAAGGAAAATGACCAACGAGTGAATAGGTGTGGCCATGAGAGAAGAAGAAAAGCAAGAGAGCGGGGTGCTGGAGACAGCAAAGGAAGCAGTTCAAGACGGGCAAGCATGCAAGTGGATGGAATTTCTCCCTTCATTTCTTCTATTTCCTCAGTGAAATCAAAAGTAGGGCATCATGAAATGAGAATGGGAAGAAAGTGCTGGAGATTTGAGAAGACAGAAGATAGGACATAATCTCTGGGAAACCAAGATCAAGAATGAACTAGGGACATACAGTAGCACTGCCTAGGTGGGTGGGCTCTCTTGAAAGCTGGTGATTTGGCAAACACACTCACGGACCAGAGCAGGTTGGCTGTGGTGGCTCTGCGGTGCAGAGTTCAGTGTCAGGCTTGTTCAGCGTCAGGGTTAAATGTGCAGAGGGGAGGGAGAGGACATTAACAGAGCTAAGACAGACTCAGCAGGAACATCACCTTCTAGCACCTGGTCAAGATGAAAGGGCAGGGAACAGGGCTGGATTAAGCCAAAGATTTCCCAGGGTGGCCTAAAATACTTGGAACTGGGGAATACCTACCCTACGATGGACTGGTGGTTGAGTAGAGATAGCAAAAGTGAAGACCAACAGAGTAAGAAGAGATCATAAATTTGAAGAGTTATGAAGTCAACAGACAGAAATATTAAGAACAGGTATAGAAAAAGAGACTGAATCAGGTTGGATTTGTGGCTAGGGTCGATGCAGTGACAACTATCAAGATAAGGATGATGGAAATACATTTTTATATGCATACCAGAGGGATGTTCTGATAGGTTAAATGGGAGCCAGTGAACTTGCAGAGGAACAGTTCAACCCATGATTGTTGAGTCTTAGAAGATACCTCCAGATGTGGGGCAGGACCCAGAGGAAGAGCTGGTGGTGCAAAGCATTGTTGTTGCTGTTCAGTCACTAAGTCATGTCTGACTGCAGCCCCATGGACTGCACACGCTGGGCTTCCCTGTCCTTCACTGTCTCCCAGAGTTTGCTCAAATTCACGTCCATTGAGTCAGGGATGCCATCCAACCATCTCATCCTCTGCTGCCCTCTTCTCCTTTTGCCTTCAATCTTTCCCAGCATCAGGGTCTTTTCCTGTGAGTGGGCTCTTCACATCAGGTGACCAGAGTACAGTTCAGTTCAGTCGCTCAGTCGTGTCCGACTCTTTGCGACCCCATGAACTGCAGCACACCGGGCCTCCCTGTCCATCACCAACTCCCGGAGTCCATCCAAACCCATGTCCATCAAGTCGGTGATGCCATCCAACCATCTCATCCTCTGTCGTCCCCTTCTCCTCCTGCCCTCAATCTTTCCCAGCATCAGGGTCTTTTCCAGTGAGTCACCTCTTTGCATCAGATGACCAAGGTAATGGAGCTTAAGCTTCAGCATCAGTCCTTCCAATGAATATTTAGGGTTGATTTCCTTTAGGATTGACTAGTTTGATCTTCTTGCTGTCCAAGGGACTCTCAAGAGTCTTCTCCAGCACCACAGTTCAAAAACATTATTTCTTCATTGCTCAGCCTTCTTTATGGTCCAACTCTCACATCGTACAGATAAAAGAACATCAAATCAAGAAGTGGCAGAAGTCATGGCCTGTGACAGCTAAGACAGGAGAGAATTTTTGGAAAAGGTGAAAATGAGCACGTGATAAATGCTGAGCCTAACTAAGAAAAAACGCACTGATGGTGTCAGTGATGATGTGGGAAAGAACAGTTTCACAGAAGCAGTGAGAGGAGCACACGCCCCGTGAAGGTGAAGGAGGCCTGAGCAGAGGAGGGAATGCCCGCACCCAGAATGTCCATCCCAGATGTTCCAGCGGAAAGGCAGGCCCTCTACAAAATTCGCAGGCTGAGTCCAAACGGACATGGAGACACGTGCTCAAAAATTACTACAGTGGCCACAGCAGAGCATTCTGCCCAGCACAGGGCTCTTCTATATAACTCGTGCAGCTGGCCCCGCAGACGGCAAAGGGGGACAAATACCAGAATCATTTGAAAACAGCCCTGGGAAACTGCAGGATGGTGGATCTGGGTGTATTTTAAGGTGGAACTAGCCAAAAGGGGCTTCCCAGGTAGCCCGAATAGAAAAGAACCCGCCTGCTATTGCAGGAGATGTAAGAGACCTGAGTTTGATCCCTGGGACAGGACGCTCCCCTGGAGGAGGGCATGGCAACCCACTCCAGCATTCTTGCCTGGAGAATCCCATGGACGGAGGAGCCTGGCGGGCTGCCGTCCACAGGGTCGCAGAGTCAGACACGACTGAGCTCACAGGCAGGCAGAGGGGAAAGGCTCTGTGCTCCATGGGGCCACAGGGTATCTTCATCTGTCTGTCATCTCAGATTCCAAAGTGGAAACCCTAAGCCTTCACCAAGGCCACTTCCCTGGTGGCCCAGTGGCTAAGACTTCCCCTTCCAATGCAGGGGGTATGGGTTCAGTCCCTGGTCGGAGAGCCAAGATTCCACATGCCTCATGGCCAAAAAACCCAAAACATAAAACAGAAGCAGTATTGTAACAAATTCGATAAAGACTTTAAAAATAGTCCACATCAAAAAAATCTTAAAAAAGAAAAAACTGGAAATAGAACTGCCATTTGACCAGCAATCCCACTGCTGGGCATACACACTGAGGAAACCAGAATTGAAAAAGACACGTGTACCCCAGTGTTCACTGCAGCACTGTTTATAATAGCTGGGGCATGGAAGTAACCCAGACATCCATCGGCCGATGAATGGATAAGAAAGCTGTGGTACATATACACAATGGAATATTACTCAGCTATTAAAAAGAATGCATTTGAGTCAGCTCAAATGAGGTGGATGAAACTGGAGGCTGTGAAGTAAACCAGAAAGCAAAACATCAGTACAATATATTAATGCATACATATGGAATTTAGAAAGATGAGACAACCCTATATGCAAGACAGCAAAAGAGACACAGATGTAAAGAACAGACTTTTGTGCTATGTGGGAGAAGGCAAAGGTGGGACGATATGAGAGAATAGCATTGAAACATGTATATTACCATATGTAAAACAGATGACCAGTGCAAGTTCAACGCATGAAGCAGGGCACTCAAAGCTGGTGCTCTGGGACAACCCAGAGGGGCGGAGTGGGGAGGGAGGTGGAAAGAGGGTTCAGGGTGATGGGACACAAGTGCACCAATGACTGATTCATGTTGATGTATGGCACAAACCACCACAATATTGTAATTAGCCTCCAGTTAAACAAATAAATTTTTAAATAAATAAATAAAAGCATCCCTTGAACAAAACAGAAATAGTCCACATCAAAAAAATCTTTAAAAAAACTTCAGGCCATCTCATTTTGCCATTTTTCTTTTTATCTATTATAGACTATATTATTACCACTATTATTATTATTAATTATTTTGATACCTTGAACGCAAAGCCTGGTTAGAAGCTTCGTCCTGTGCCTCCATTTCATTGTCTACAAAATGGAGATAATGAGGGAGTTTAAATGGGTTAATTTATATACAGTGCCTGAGCTATCCTGGCAGGCTATATACATGTTAACTCTTCCCATAATTCTGCTTATCTTGTTATTAACCAAATCCTGTTAGATGTTTCCTCTGAATTCTCTCTTATAGCCATTGTCTCTCTATATATATCCATTCCTATCACCGTGGTCTTTTCACCACTGACAGTAGCTTGGCCTCCCTGATTTCAGCCTCTTAACCCTGCTAGTACCCAAGCACACAACTTTTATGCTATCACTGCTCCAAGAGCAACGTTCTCTGCTCAAGAAAATCTTGAATCAGTTTTGTGTTTTGCCTAGAAATCAAGCTTCAGCGTCCCTGCCTGGATCTCATGGCTCATCCTGACCACCATGAGCCCACAGGTCAGCTCAATGCAGCTTCACGAGCTTTGTATCAACCAGTCCGTGTTTTCCTGTTTCAGGGGAGGTGGGGATGGTGCAGCCCACAGGAGGAGACCTTTACCTCCCTGCCTCAGAGATCACTCCTAAAGAAGACTGTGTGGAAGCCAGAGCGGGGAGGGGACAGGGAGCCTGGTGCTCCACAGTGCAGTCGGCGCTCAGATGAAGACCATTTGCGGCCCGGTGTTTCCTGTGATCCCGTAGATTTCCTCCAGCCAGCACCTGGGCTCCCTCCTCGGGTCCCGGATTTAGAGATGAAGCCATAAAAACTGCAGATCGCACACTGAAGGAGTCTTGTCATCCCGGGGGGACCTCAGTAGGAGACAGAACAGAGCTCCAGGAACTGGGGGTGCATCTCTCTGACGGTAAGGAGGTGAAAGCTGAGCGGAAAATGGCCCACAAGGAAGCCCTGGGGTGTCAAAGGACAGGAGGCTGAGGAGATACCCCTGGGAAGTTCAAAAAATAAAACAAAAATTGAAAAGGGCAGGGGAGGACTTCCCTGGTGACACAGTGGATAAGAATCTGCCGGCCAGTGGAGGGGACACAGATTCGATCCTTGGTCCCGGGAGACCTCACACATGATGGGGGAAGTAAGCCCCCGCGCCACAACCACTAAAGCCCGTGTGCTCGAGAGCCTGTGCTCCGCGCCGAGAAAAGCCGCTGCAAGGAGCCCGGGCTCGGCCACGGACAGCAGCCCCGGCGCGGGGCCACTAGAGAACACCCGTGCAGCAACAGACAGCACAGTCCAAAGTAAAAGTTCATCCAAGACAGCGTAGTTCCCCTCAGGAGTTTCTACGGAGAGCATATGGGGTGGGAAACGCAGTGTCATCTGAGGCAACTTCTGCTAAGCCAAGAAGGGCAGGTGGGAGTGGAGTGAGGAGGTGGAGAGGGGGACAGGCTAACAGCAGTCAGCTCTGCAAACCAGAGAAGGCGCTGATCAACAGAGGCGCTCTTGAGGGGGGCAGCCAAGCGCAGGGCTCTGGAGACAAGTGTCAGCAAATCTGGGGTACAGACTGAAGGGGCAGAATGAGGTGCCGCCACACCAAAGCAGTGGGGAAAGGAAGAACAGAGCAGCTTGTAGGGGAGAGTGCGGAGGACAGTGAGGAACCCTGGGATAAGATCTGGACAAGACGGAGCGGCCTCAGGAGAGACACCCCACCTTCTCTTCTGTTCCCCACGTGCCCAGAGATAGCCGTGGTTTCCTTCAAGTCCACTGTCATTTGAGGTCTGCTCTGTTTCAGGCTGCTCCTTCTGCAACAGGTAGATGTTTCAATCCAGTTAAAAAGAATGACCCGTCAAAGGGTTAGCTGTCCATAAAAACGGAAAGAATAGGAAACCTGCTTTCATGAAAGAGATACTGACTGTGTCCTAATACTGGTTAAGGGTCTGCTAAATGCATTTCCTTAGTTCTCACACCAACGTACTATGGCGGAAGATAGCATCCCTACTTTATGAGTGAGGGAAACCAGAGATCTGAATGTTTAAGAACCTAGTCCAGGGTCACGTGGTGGAGCCAGGCTGCTAACCCAGGACTCTGGTTCCAGCTGCCTAAACGTTTTTTACCCTGTGCCTCTAGGGAGGACCTTAAAACCACGCACATGGACTGATATGGTAGAAAACAAAAGCAGAGAGTCTGCTTTTCTCTGCACATTATCATAATGGCTTTGGATCAATAGCTCTCGGAATTTCTGGTTTCCACTGGAGCCCCTCAGATTCACTGCGTACTGCTTTTAACCCTCTGGCCCCCCACTTTGCACTGCCTCCCAGGGGGCCAGCGGCCCCTGATGTTTACAATAGTTTACAGATATGTCATATCTCCCAAAGTTAGGATTCATGATAGCTTTTTTTTTCATATCTTTGAAGAATTTCTGTTTTCATCCAAGATTTCTAATTTTGAGTATCCTAGTTCAATATGTACTATTATAATTTATTGATCAAATTTTATTACTGAGGGTTGATTCATTCACTCATCATATTTAGTTTCAGCCAAAAAAATTAAAACCTGGCTCCTCCCTCCCCGTTTCTAAGGAAAACGCTAGTGAATTCCCCTAATGTTTTTCTGAAGTCCTCATTTCTATTCAGTCTTGAAAATCCAGAGTTAAGTTGCAGAGATCCCAGTAACTCACATTTGAAGTCCAGACCCCTCTCTGGGGTGCTGATGTCAGAGTCCTGTCTTCTGTCACTACTCTAATTTAGGGCATTTATAAAAAACCGGATGTATCATGATGGTGCCAGGCTTGGCATGCTGGACTGGATTACAGCACTTTCGAGGTGCAGCTGCCATACAGACCGTCCAGTGTCATCATCTCTGTTATGGCCCAGGGCCTTTACTGAGTCACCCAAAGTCACGCAGGTAGTTTGTAGGCAACTTCATCATAAATTCCACGTGGACCCGCAGCCTCCATGATACTCCGTATCTTCTCCTGTGAAGGTAAAACTCTTTACTGCTTCTCTCCAAACTATTTTCCTAACATCTTCCTGAATGATTAGCAAACCCATTTGATAGGCACAGACACCGAGGGTCAGCAAGGTTAAATATCTGTTCCCTGAGGGTACAGAGAACCTTGCTGAGAGAGGGAGAGCCAGGAATCAAACACAGATTCCTGACTCAGAAATCAAGGGTTCTGCCCTTTAGGATATATGGACATTAAGGATATTGGCAAATAAAAGGAGTATTCTTTCCAGGTTCTGGACTCTACAGTATCCAACTTACCTCGGAGTTTTAGTGTTGGTTCTTTTCAGAGAAAAATAATTTAATCGGGATTTTTAGGGTTAGAGAATAGAGACAATTATCTAAACACAGTTTCTTTCTGTTAAGATTTTAGAATTCGTCTTTCAGACAAATTTAGAAATTTATGTGAACGTGTTTTCTTTCAGACAGAAATGCTGTCAATGACTAATCTCTGCAATGCAAGAGAAAACCCTAAGAAATCCACACAGAGGAGCCGGATGCCCTTGTTCTTCCTCGTTCTTTCCCGTTTAGGAAAAGTGGACCACCACCCTCCACTGTGAGGTGGTATCCTCACTACGCCCCATGACCCAGGCTGCTCTGTGCCTGTCTGCCTCAGTAACGCGCCATTGGCGCCTTCGTTGACCGCCTACCACGGCCAGATGGCGCCGCCGGGGGCTGGGACGTTGTGGTAGGGCGCTGGGCGCAGTGATGCTCTCGGGGAGCTCGGGTGGAGAGCAAGGCACCAAGCTTTGAGGAAGGTAAGAAGCAGATGGGCTCCAGGAGTTAGAGCAGAGAGGTTCGGCTGAGGGACACTCCCAGGTTTTAAGGAAGAGCTGGGCCTTAAAGGGACTGTAGAATTTAGTGAAGAGGGCTAAAAGGAAATGGAGCAGAAGACAGAAGAGACTCATTTCTAGGGTCCTGAAGTCAGCAAACTGATCCTTAAATTTTGGTTGTATTATATTTAAAAAATAATCCTGATACATCCCTCTGAAGGAAATCAACCGATTATCCCCAAAGAGGAAGGAATAAAGGATACAAAGTCAACTTTCCCATTGACAAACATTTATTGGACCCCAGATACTTGCCAGTTACTGTGCTAGATATCAGGGATACAAACCTTTGAGAAACTTTGAACAAAATTAAAGTGGGCATTAAAAATTGGATCCTCTCTTCAATTCATGGTAAAATGTTTGACCCACAGAGCTATGCTATTACATACTTTCTTCTAGACATTCACAGAATTCTGCCAAGAATTCCATTCTATATTATTTTCAGGGGAAATTCATCATGAGACAACATAACAGAGTTACATGAATATGGACCGATACACTATGCAGTCTCATTCACTGCATAATAGGAGAGACATAGAATGCTGTTCATTCGGAAAGAACCAGTTGTCTGGACATGCTATACTTAGAAGCACTGAGGAACATCTCTTGGCCCCGGGACCTTAGCATGTGCCTTCTTCAAATATCCCTACTACCAAGCCATTCACAGGAGGTTCTCCCCGGTGACCTTCTCTCTCCTTCTTCCTATCTGCTGGATCCCACTTTATCATCATTCACCTTCAATGTGTTGGACCTACACTGCTTCATCTGAACAATCTATCTGAAACATGTATACACCTTTTAGCTCAACCACAGGCAGCTATGACGACACAACTGTTAGGCCACGTGTGCAGTTGAAATACAAGTGCTCTCTTGGAAAAGAAATGTAGGAAGTCACTAAATAGTACAGGACACTATAAATGGAAAAGTAAATGGAGGTATTTCAGTGTGACTGTCACCATCTTTGTAAGTGTATTTCCATAGTTATTTTTCTGATAGTTCAGAATTCTAATGTAGTTGATGAAAGAATCTTAAGAACATCTTTCAAACAAGTCATAACAATATGCCAAGAACATAAAGGTATTCACACTCGCACACAAAGGGAACAGAAGATAGGAGTGTCTATCAAAAGGGAAAAAATTGAAAAGATGATGACAATTATACAGATATGAACATAGTGCTGACATGTTGCATGGGGATAATTGTGATTTCATTCCATGAAAATGGAATGTTTTCAATAGATAATATTATTTGGCTTTTCTCCTTAAATTTTATAAGCTACTAGTTCATTTTTCTTTTTTGTCATGGCAGTATCAAAACCGTTTCAAGTCCCACTGTTCAAATGCAGTGCACTAGATCACATGCAACAGCAGGAAGAGAAGAATCCAGATCATTTACAAATTGACAGGAAGCAATTTATTTAGAAGGTTGAACTTAAAGTCCAAAAATTTACAATTGAAAAATTTGGTGGTACAGTTGACTTTTTCCAAGATATTTAGCAGATTTTCAATATTATATTTTAAAGGCCAACCATCCAAAAAAAAAAAAAAAAAAACCAGCTTAGAAATGCCTAAGGGAGGGGAGAAAATGCATTCAAATGCACTGAATTATATTATTCCTTTTCTGTTGAAATAACAATTTTTTGTGGTAATTACTTAATAAAGGTAATGTTCATATACACATATAACTCAAGTTAAAATTGAGGGTAACTAATTTCAAAGTTATTAAACCAGAGAAGTTTTTTTTTTTATCAAGATGATAAACAGAACTTTGTAGACAAAAATTTAAATTTATATGACCTCTAATTAAACTTATTGTATAGTAGATTCTAATAAAACTTCATTTCTGAGTTTCTGGAAAATGTACTTTATAAACTCAAATGGCTAATATAAGAGATCATTTAGAATTAGATGTACATTATACAGTTACTAATTTTAAACACATTTCTCATTTCTTAAACAGTGTTATAAAAGTATAGACCAGAATTAAAATTTTAATTTTTATTTTAGGAAAAACAAAAACTTCCAGATATTTGGTATAAAATGTTCACACAGGGAATGTATCTCTTATGTGACACTCAGAAAAACTGTAGGGTAAGCTACAGTAGCCTATCTGGAAATCCATGAATTCCAATTTTTAAAAAACTAAGGTGATTTGCAACTTCAGAATATCTGAGATGTAGTGTGAAATACTGGTACAAATAATTATTCTGGAATGATGTACTCATTCATGGAGGACTCCTAAACAAAGGAGTCGGAATTTTGTTCACAGTTTGTAAACTTGGCACAAATTTTGTTATGATAACCTGTTACCCACAAAGGAAGGTCTCCATAAACAAAAACAATCTGGTATTTACTAATTTTATACAATCCATTGTAAAACTTCCTGAAAAGTTTTAAAGCTTTAACCAACCTGGAGTTTGTATGAACCATAACCAAGGAGAGTGAACATGACAAATTAACAGTGTCAGAGAAAGCAAATGACATACAGAGAGGTAACACTCAGTATTAATGTATGTAATTAAATAAAGTTTCATTGTTTTTGACATTG